AAGAGATTTAAAACATTCAAAGTTGATTATAACGAATAAAAAAGAAAAGAAAAGAAATATGAAGGAATAACTTGTTTTGACCTGCCTCTTCCAAACGAGAAGTATGTTATCATTTGCCCTAAATTAAAAGGATATGCTTCTAAAATATCCCACTCAGTTAGAGGAGGATTGAAGACAAGGATATCTATTTCCATCTTGCCGGGGAGATATGAGCCTTTTAAATTCCTTTTATTCCAGGCTGACTGACGGGGAGATCTATGAATAGCCGACTGGAACGGAAGACACTCGCAGCTCATTCATTATCGCCTTTGTCCTCGGCGGGTGTATCCTTAGGTCCTTTTGGAATCATTCCAGAAGCCCTTGTATGGTCATCAACTGTTCAATCTAAACTGACTTACGCTATCATTTATTAGTCCTTAAAAGGTAACGATAAGAATAATATGAAAGACCAATTCAGTGAAATGAAATTTAAATTTAATTGTTCTAGTATAGTCTAGATGTATTGGGTAGGCGAATATATCCTTTCGGTTTTTTCTGGGTGAAATAAAAATAAATTTGTCATTGACATCAAATTGATTTTATACGGACGTAAGTTCATTATCGATAAATCGTTTAATTATATGTAAAAATAATGATATTATGTAATATATATATATATATATATATATATATATATGTATATATTGGCATATATATTTTGTTATAGAAAAATGAAACTCAATTTTTACACTGAAAATTCCACCCAACCTCAACATCGGCTAAAAAGAGTGATTTCCATTAGCTGAAGGAAGCAGCTGCAATGACAGAATTCCCACCCACTCCCTTTGGTTTGTTTTATGACCGCGATCTGGATAGTCCGCCTGCTGTCAGAAACACCTCCGGTAATATCCTGTAGATCGGGAGCCACCAGGAAGGCTTGTGAGGGATGTTCTCTGACTTTTGTTCCCTCTGGAAGTCGACTAGCCTTCTCTTGTTCCATTCATTGTCCGTGACTGACAAATTCGTTAGGACTTTGTCCGCTATTGCTAAATGATTCCGTAGATGATTTTTCAATTTGAACCATTCCGCGATTATATTTCCTAATTATTGAAAAAATAGTTTAACCAAACTATTATTAAGGTATTAATTTCCGATAAGTTTGCCATTATCATTTTACCGGACGAACATTGTTCATATTGTTAAAGATTTCTTTTTTTATTTAAGATATTTACAACTGTATCAAATTAAAAATATATCTAGTAAATGTGTAAACAGGAATAATATAATAATACACCACGATACAATAATACAATTGTATTGAATTATGGAAGGATAGGTATCTGGATTAGGCTAAATCGGAAAATATGGTACGTTAAGGTCGTTATGGATGATTTTATTTTGTGACAAAGTAAGGAACATTGAGGATTTTGATTGTAAGGATTGGATACGAGAGGAGTTCGATGGTTTAGTGTAACCCCAAAGCTCAACACCGTAAGTCCATATTGGCCTTATAATAGTCATGTATATGATAGTCTTTTTTAATATATTAAAAGTTTAGAGCGTTTGTATAGTTGGTGCTCGACGTCAAAACGTCAAGCAACTTCTTGTCGTTTTACTCTTGAATGAGGATTCCAAGTGAGTCGTTTGTCCAGATGGAGTCCTAGGTATCTTAATATATTCTAATCATTATTTGTCTGTCTCAAACACGCGTTCTTTGTCGATTGGTTTGCTCTTCGCGTTTGGCTTAAGACGAGATTAATTTATATTTTTTTGTTATTTATAATTAACAAAATCTACAAAACAGGTAAAAACATATAAAGTCCTTCATCTTACAGACCCATAAGCCTCCTTCATTAAAAATTGCTCTAAAATTTTTGAACAATTAGTATATAGAAGACTTATGAGATATTTACTGACCAACAGACAATACCTGACCACCAGTTCGGCTTTCGCATGTTCCATTCGACGACACATCAGTTACATTTGCAGAGTTTCAGACTTATAATGCAGGAGCTTTAGAACAAAAACTATTTGCAACTCGTGTATTTTTGCATGGTGCTCAAGCTTTTGATATGTTCTGGCACCAGGATCTTCTCGTTAAACTTAAGATACTGCCATACACGTACTGCTTTATCCTTCAATCATTCCTCTTCGACAATTTTTCAGTTCGGAAGTTCTCGGAAATGTCATTAGTTGGTCCAATCTTGGCAGGAGTTCCCCAAGGTTCAATACTAGCCCCTTTACTTTACAATGTACACACTTACGATATACCTATTAACGACGAGATCTTGACAGCTACTTATACAGGCGATACAACAATTCTCGCAAAACATCAAGACACTACACAAGCCTCACTAACTTTACAACATCACTTACTTAAATTAAAAGATTGGTTCAAACTATAGAAAATTCGACTAAATCATGACAAATGCAAACATATGACATTTACTCTTCGACAAAACGCCTGCCCTCCAGTATATATTGACAATAATTTAATTCCTCAAACGAACACTTTACTTTATCTTGGACTTCGACAGATGGTTGACATCGGTCACACATGTAAAAATGAAACGTAAGACACATAACAAACGACTCAAACTACCTTACCTTCTTTTACCTAAATCTTCAAAACTAAAGCTGAAACAGATACTGAATAAATATTCATACTTACTTAAAACCATATGGACATACTCATCGCAAATAAACCCATAAAGACTCACATACAAAGGCTGACCAACATATGGACGACCTATTATCAACGATGTTACACTAATTTAAACGAACATAATAACAGACTAATAAGAGACATGGTCACAGCTGGACCAGCTACCTCAGAACACGAGGAGGAGACTAAAAAAGCGTTGGATGAGAGGTCTCCTTCCTTAAACAACCAAAGTAATAGAAACAAGTTAAGGAATAGAAGCTGCTGAGTACTTTCTTCACCCTGTCATGTCATTTTTTTTTTTTTTTTTTGTATCTCCATCACATTTGCTGATTGTCAACAAAAGTTGACAGACTCAAATGCACTTTTGTAGACAAAAAATAATTGTAGTATCAGCCATTTCTTCATTGTTGCAAATTATTAATTAAAAATAAAAAAAATATATTTATTAGATTTAATGCAGGTAGTATAAATAATTTTAACATAATTGATATAGTATTTTTCCCCTTCAAACGGTACACTTCTTTCAAATAACGAATTAGGCGTTTTGCCCAACCCAGAGCGTCAGAGAATATTAAAACTCCTAGTTATGCCAAATACCAGGCGCCAGAGATTCAGATGCTTAAACTGTAAGCTATGAATGGCAGAGGTCTTGTTTTGATAATATCTTGATGTTATTTACAGCTTCGCCAGAAAAAAGAAAAAACCTTCTTTAACACATTCGATTCTCCTGAAGACCTTGTTTAGGTACTGTAAATATTTTGTTCGCCCCATTAGACTGAATAAACATATCTTCCCGTAACTAAAAAGTATGTCTAAAAATAACCTGAAAAAAATTCTCTACCTCGTCGGAAATTCTGGCTTTTAATTAATTCGCCATCTCGCACAAAAATATTTACTCATGTCCGCGTCATAGCTTTCACTGGGTTTCTCATTTTCCTAACATAAACAGACAGATCAAACACTGTATGTGATTTCACAATCATATTGATACATACAGTGTAAACTTTTGTATTTTCTATAAATTGTCTATTTGAATATAACGAATTTTTTAGCCAACGTTTCACCATCTGTTATTACACATAAAATTAAATTTTCTTAATGTTCTGAGATAAAAAAAAAGTTGTTAACCGGGTTTCAACTATTGCATAAAATATACTTAAACCATTAATAAATTTGAACATAGGATAATGTTCCTTAAATTGGCGATTCCTAAACAAAAAGAATATGAAAGAACAACTACAGTTTATTTTATTTTTTTTAAAACTTATCTATTCAGAATTATTACAATCTGTCACAATTAAGGACTTTTTAATACTGTTCATAGAGCACATCCACATCCACACTCTGTTTACAATAAATAACACAGGAAAACAATAATACTAAAAGTACACCAATATGAACAAAAGAACTAAACTAATCATAATAACAAATAAAATAGACCATACTTTTATACAATATTTATAGAATCCATCCACCCAGGAGAACTCCGAGTCAAGCCTTTCTTTCCAAACGTGGAATGAAAGGCAGGTCTCCTGAAGATCCCAGCGCCTCTCACTCAGCCGCACCACTCTCACCAAAGACCAGTGGAGGCTGATCAGAGTCGCTATAACCAGACATACATGGCTTAAGTGGAGAATCTGGCCATTGCCAGAACTCCAATATATGCTTACAACAGGTCTCTGGGCCAATGTCGCTTCGATGAGGATCGCTGCTAGGTAGAGCTATCTAATGATTTTAAGAGAATTTGGATGATAAGGAAAAGGAAGGTTGTGATAGAATTCGGATAAATATTCTGGGATGTCGAGAACAAATGGGCTATTAATGCCATGGTGTAGGATTTTGTTGTATAGAGCGGATCATCAACTATTGTTCGAAGGACTTTGTACTGAAAGGGTTGAATGCGTTTGATGTTATAGAAGTTTGCTGTCTCTCGAAATTCCATTCCGTACAATATCTAATTAAATAGACAAAGTTTGCCAATCTACGTATTGAAAACGCCCCAATTCTAAGAGTTTTCGTAAATAAAATAGTTGTAGGTTACGATGGGGACATTTACGAAGTTCCAAGCGGATGTTAATAATTTGATGAAAAGGGGTCTATACCACGGACTGTTAGCTTAATGCCCGAAACTTTTGTTTTTGAGAATAAAAAAAGTATGTGTTATAGTAATATGTTTTGAAATCCAAAAAATGAAACACTTAAAATGTTTTAATTGACAACTTTAAGAATATATTATCTTTTTGGGAAACATTAGTATACATAAAAGGTTGTTAAACAATATGTATATATATATATATATATATATATATATATATATATATATATATATATATATATTAAATATTTTCTGCTGTAGGTTTCCTAAAGCCAAGTTTGGAGGAGAAAGTGACAAGCAACTTCGGCCTCCTTGACATGATTGCAGCCTTGAGGTGGCTCAAGGACAACATCATCGAATTCGGTGGAGACCCACATTCCATCACCCTCATGGGCCATCATACTGGTTAGTACATCCATGATTTACTAATATTATTAACAACATGTAAATTATTTAGATGAACAAAAAACTTTATTTTTTGTAAAAATGCGGTACTTCAATACCATCCATAAACAAGAATAGTTCTCAGTCAGCTGGTTAACAATTTTTTTTGTGTGTGTTTTTGTACATAATATATTTAAAAATATTTAACACATACCAATGGGTTCGTTCCAATGGACTTAGATGCCGAGAAAAAAAAAAATAAATCTTTACCTCAGAAAATCTTACCTGATATTGCAATACCGCACTGTGGGAAGATATTATACGTGCTTTGGACATGAATTTTGACTAAGATACTCCATTACAATAATTTTATGTAACTTGATGTATTTTTTCGTGATGAATCTAATGGTAAAGAACGTTGGTTGGTAGGAAAACTAGCAGTTTTTATTATTATCAAATCTTTACCCTTTTTTTCTGTTACTGAACGGCCTGTCTGTTATTTAAAATATCATGGTTTCATTTAACGATATGTCAGCAAAAAAAATAATATTTTTATAGGACGGTGTATCATTTTGATAAAATAAATTGTTTCTGCTAAATATGTATATCCAAATAATGAATATTTTTATATTAATTCAACTAAAGGCATAATAAACGAATATTATATTTTTTTACAAACAGGTAGATATGTATGTCCAAATTTTAATATTTTTTTTTTGGTCTGCAAATCTGCGGTACTGCAAATCAGTACCTGTCACGGTAGTGACAATTAGCAGATTTGTTAATTGGTAATTGTTTGACTGTCGTGGATAATGAAGAGAAGAATAGTTGGGGTGCTCAGTCAAAAAAGGAAGGCAAAAAATAAATTATAATATTTATTTTTTACATATGCCGACGTTTCGACCTGAAGATCAGGCCTCCATCAGGGCTTTCTCCTTAAGTGTCAAGGGGAGAATAGAATTATTCTAATAAAGAATTTTGTAATAATAAAAATTTTATTATTACAAAATATTTAAAACATAAGATAAATAGCATTATAATTGAGTTGCAAACGATTTTTAAAAAATCTCATTTTATGCATAGTAAATCTATTATAAATCTTACCATTAAAATCCTCCGGAATTTCTCGAAAACAGACTATGATATACTTTGAAGCCCAAAGAAGATGTTTTTACATATCTTAAATATACAGAAGTTTCGAATTTTGGTCAGTATCGGGAGTTTTGTCTTACTCATCCAACAGTGCATCGCTTGGTCCAATTCGTTTTAAGATTTTACTCACTTACTTGTGAGAGGGTCTTTAAAGAGTTCTTCGTTTGAAGGTATTTCTTACTTAGTTTCTTCACGTCCTTTGTTCTCCGGGTCTCATGATAAATAATTCCTAAATGTTATACCCTGTAGTCTTACGAATTCTGTTTGATGGTTATCTGTCAGTGATAGACTATTCCTTATGCGAGTTATATTGCACATGTTTCTCTATCAATTAATTTATTGAATTATATTCAACTACGATTCTGACTTTATTCAATGTTTATTTGGTATTCAGTTCTGTCAGAATATTATATTAAACGTCAATATAATCCATTTTGAAACCAGCTGCAGAGTGTTTTGAAATCATATCTAGTTGTAAGATATTTTATATTTTCTGTATATACGGTGTGAATGTGTACATTTATCACTATAATCATTTTCCGAGAAACAGAATATTATATGTCTAAAAAAAATAAAAAGTGTAAGATAAATCTAAATCCCATAAAAAATATTTAAAAGATCGGAAATGTTAGTGAATCAAACGATGAAAAGAATCGTAAGAAAAGAGGAATACTGGTTTCGTTACTTACATTATATATACACATATGCATAGGTATCTAATAACAATGAAACATTTACTGCTACCTGCACTGACCGTAAAGCACTTTCAACAAAACACCACAATGTTAGACATGCCTCACAGAGTTTACAAAATCACTTACTAAATTTACGAAACTGGTACTTACTTTGAAAAAGAGAATTAATAATGAAAAACCACAACACATAACATTTACACTTCGACGAGACACATGTCCACCAGCTTATAAGGCTACAACCAAATTCCTCAATTGGACACACATATCTAATTAAACACATTTGGACATACGCCTCACTGATATATGGTTCAGCCAAAAATAAAATCTCTTAAAAAAACTACAATCTATTCAGTCCAAACGTTAACGACTGATAACAACAGCTCTCTGGTACGTAAACTACCAAACTTTTCATAACGGCTTACGAAAACTACTATCTACTAACACATACGTACTCTTCACGCATGATTCCATGCTTAGCTACAAAGAAACAACAACTGACTTGTAATCGACATGGCCACCGTTGACATGCCCATTGGGGTGAGAATGAGGAGGAGATGGATGAGAGATCTCCTTTCCTGATTTAATGCCATTATCATCTATAATCCCATCAAATCTGCTGATTATTACTTTCATGAAAAGTGCAGATCAAGGTATGAAGAGAAAAAAAAGTTGAAAGTTGTTTAAAATGGTAAAAACAAATATTTCAACTATTTTTGTTTTAGTTACAGCTAATCTGCTAATTGTCACTACCATGACAGGTGCGGATGAAGATATAGAGTCAAAAAAAAAAAAAAAAAAAGTTCCGAACTTTTTAGACTCGAATTGCTTGTTCAAATACGGATTCGGCAATAAATTTAATCAATATGAAATGGAAAATCGCCCAGATAGGACTCTATATAAATTTGTATTATTTTTTTTTTGTTTCTGGGTATCTTATTATATACGCTGATACATTAAGTATACGCTTATTTTAAACCAAATTTATATATATGAATGGTTTATGTATGAATTGAATTATATATATATATATATATATATATATATATATATATATATATATATATTGTACTTCTAGGGAAAAATACAATCGTTATTTACTTCGAGATCAATGTTTAACTGTCATTTTAATATCATATGTACTTTTTGAAAACATAATAATACCTTAAGAATATGATAGAGATCATTTAATGTGAAATTGGAGTATGTTAAATAGTTTTAAACACCTTATGGAAGGTTTCGTGATGATACCTACAGAATAATAATGGATATTTCTTGATATGAAATGTTTTTTTTATCTTTAAATACTATTTTAAATGAAAATTAAATTCACATAGGCTAAATTCTCTTGTTATAATAAGAATAGTACATTACAATAATCTCTTCTTATATGGTTATATTTATTCAAACCTCTTTAAATGTCATTTAATTCATTTCAAAGTACATTTTTTATTATAAAAAATAGATTATTAATTTACCTCTATTTATTGCTAAAATAGTTAAATTAATATACATAAAATAAATAATAACATTCTATTTACATTATTTAGGATTTAATTTGGCGGATTAAGATGAAAATTTAGGATTATTTAGAAAGAAAATACACGACTGATCTAGCATACTTTATTCAACTAAATCGGCATAAATAATCCTTCGTGGTATCTGTATTTCAATCTCCGATCGAGATTTGCTATTCGACGAATTCCGACTTCTCACTAATTGGCTCAGGCTTCACACAAGAATTCACAAAGACCCTACCTTCTATAATGCAGCCAAGCCAGCAAATTTTGTAAGTTGCCATCAAGTAAGTAATTCGAGCGACTGTAAACTATAATTACTGACCGACTCCTCAACCTGTCCCGGGGAAGCCTTCTCCAATTTAGTGGCTCTCTTGAGTTATTGCTAATTGTCTCCCGTTGGCTGTTTGTTCTCTCGACCTAACCCGGTTATGCTCTGTCTTGAATTTAATTTCAGCCCTTAGGACGCGGGTTACCTCAGCGGGCTGGGTACTTACTTCTAAGGTCCCAGGTTCGAATACAGCTGATGAAAGATAAATGATATAATCCATTTCATCGGCCTTGTATGAATCCTGGGATTTGGAGACCCTCCTGGGGCATACCCGGCATAACACTTACATATACAGTGGGTACTCCTAATTAATTAATCAAGGGAGAAAACTTGGCTGTTGAGCGTGATCTCGGCCAAATTAACTTCTAGCACAATCGATGACCAAGAAGTGACGCACAAAAAATTTGATCGTCATTTAAAGTCACAAAAACTCTTGGAGCTTGGATATCTGGGAAACTCTGCCACACCTGGACCACCACTTACTTGACAAAATATTTAATGGACAAAGGGAATTAGGAAATGCGTTTTGGAGTCTATCATTTCTATAAATGCTAAGTTGTTTTCAGAGGGAAAAGTAGCTAACACGTTGACAGAAATTTGTTAATATTAGTAGAGACTATTTTGATATAAAACAGTTTTTTTAACCGATATCCAACATTATTTTTCGACCAACCCAATAACTATTTTCATAAAGCTTCTTTTTATTCTCTTTAAATGAAGATAAAAAAAAAAAGTTTTTTTTTTGTTTGTTTATTTAATGGAATTTACAACTGTATACAAATACAACTAGTAAATATGCGCAAATATAAATAATGGCATGTGCAGGCTTAAAGAGTTACTACCCAGTGGTAGCACTCTCTAAATAATTTTAAGTAAGAAGATCACGAGGCCATCTCCTTTTCAGACGCCTAGGAGGATTATCAGGAATCGAGGAAGAAGCAAGAGTGGAAACCAGCGGATTTGGATGGGACTGAAGTTTATCATGAAAGGATAGATATCTGGCTCGAGCTAAATCAGCGACATATGGTACATTAAGGTCTTTATGAATGGTTTTATTTGTGACATAGTATGGAGCATTAAGGATTTTACGGAGGATTTTGGATTGTAAGGATTGGATACGATAGGAATTCGATGGTTTGGTGGAGCCCCAAATCTCAACTCCGTATGTCCATATAGGTCTTATTATTGTTATGTACATAAGTCTTTTGTAATTAATAGAAAGTTTGGAGCGTTTGTCTAGTAAGTGTTGGAGCAGTCGGAAACGTCGAGCAGTTTCTTGTCGCTTCAGTCTAGTATGAGGATTCCAAGTAAGACGTTTATCCAAATGGAGTCCTAAGTAGCGGATTTGCTCAACAGGAATAAGTGGAGTATTATTGAAGGTTACTGTAGGACAAGAAGTCATAGGTTTACGACGGAGGGTAAAGGTGATTTGATGAGATTTGTTGGAATTTATTTTTATTTCATCCAATTTTTACACCATTCTTCAAGGCTTGTGATATGTGATTGAAGAGTTTGGGATGCAATTAAAGGAACGTTATTAACAGGTAGCAAACATGTATCATCGGCGTAAGTGGTGATGACAGTGTCAGGATGGGTTGGGATGTCAGCTGTTCAGCTGTATAAACTGTGTAGAGGATGGAATCGAGGATACTACCTTGTGGAACGCCTGCAGATTGAGCAAAGAGGGATGAGAAGACATTATTTTGGTTTACTTTGAAGTATCTATCAGTAAGATAGGAGCGGATAATGAGGAAGTGTGTTGGGGGTAGGAATTTTCGGAGTTTGTACAGAAGACCCGGGTGCCAGACTCGATCAAACGCCTGTTCAACATCGAGAAAGACTCCCGTGCAGTACATACCGCGCTCCAATGCAGAGGAGACTACATAGTGGAATGCGATGTGCGGAATCCAAATTGGTGATCAGAGATAATGTGATTAGAGTGTAAAATGGGATACAGGCGTTTTAGGATGAGTTTTTCCAGGATTTTGCCCATGATAGGTAATAGAGAAATAGGACGGTAAGAGGATGGGTGTTCGGGTGGTTTTTTAGGTTTGTGTAACATTTTGACAATAGATAGTTTCCAAGAATCAGGAATATGTGGATCGGAGCACAGCATTGTATATGTAAGTGAGGAATAGGATGGCTTTCCGAGGAAGAAGTTTTAGGATCTGGGAAGTGATAAGGTCGTGCCCAGGAGCTTTTCGGGAAGGTAATCTGTTGATGATATTAGATATTTCCGAAGGATGAAATACTTTAGGTGGAAGAGTCATTTGGAGTGGAATATCCAGTTCTGCTTCAATACATTCAATTTGATGTGGATTAATAATATCAGGATGTGGATTAAAGGTTCGGAAGAGGTATTGACCGAATAGTTGAGGTTTTTCTTCATCGGATTTGGACCAGGTTTGGGATTCAGTTAATAGTGGATGGTTAAAGTCTTTAAACTTGAGTATCTTTTTTGTGGTCGTCCATAGAGATTTGTCAGTAGTTGTAAGATTATCAGTTAGGTTAAGTAATTTTTGTGTTTTGAATTTTCTAATTTCTATTTTTAGTTTGTTAGTCAATTCATTATAGTAAGTTTTATCTGAAGGATATCTAGTCCTATGCCATTGCGATCTTGCTCTGCGTTTTTCTCTTAATAAGATTCGAATATTTAATGGCAAGTTACTATATCGTGAGTTATTGCTTTTATTGATGGAAGTGTTATCATTTATACTAATAGCTATTGATGTAGTGAGTTTTTCTATGGATTTGTCAATGTCTTGTTTTGTCTTAAGCGGAATATTTAAGTCCAGTTTATTTTCCAAATCGTAACGAAACTTGCCCCAGTCTACTCGTCCTGTAATCAATTTCGGATGTGAGGGTTTAGGAACGAGATTTGAATGTAATAATAGCAGGATTGGACTATGATCTGATGAAAGGTCATCCAAGGATTTTATTGTGGTCAGAGATGAGGAAATCTGAGAAGTGGTAAATATATCTAGGATATCAGGACGTTTTTAAGGGATGTTGGCCAATATGTTGGTATCATGGGTGAGAGGATAGAATAACTATTAGAAGATGATACATGAGATAGGATATTACCACGGGAATTGGATGTTCGACAACCCCATCGTTGGTGTTTAGCATTGTAGTCTCCTCCAGCAATAAAGCGTGATCCGGGTGATTGGAATAAGGAATCAAGAAGGCCATGAGAAAGGGAATTTCCAGGAGGACAGTATACAGCTGATAATGTAAGATGGAAAGGGCGAGTTGATAGGATTACCGAGGTTGATTGAATGGCGTCAGTTGGGGTGGAAGGGATTAGGGAATGAGATAAGGATTTATGGATAAGGATGCAAGAGCCAGCGTGGGAAGTGTTATCTGGATGGTCTGATCTGTAAGTGATGTAGTCAGTTATCTAAAAGTTTGATCGTTGTGTGAAATGAGTTTCCGTCAGGAGGGCAATGTCAATGTAATTGTCATGAAGAAATATGTCTAGTTCGTCACGGTGGTTTTGTTGTCCATTAGCATTCCATGAGAGGATAACTAGGGGCTTTTTGTTCATCGAGGGAAATTGAACGGGATTTCGGAAAGGAATCTGGTTAGAAGGGTTATGAGTGGTTTGATAGTATGTTGAAGGTCTATCAGGAATGCTGATAGGATAGAATTGATGTCGGATGATGTTTGGCTTTGAAGCATCTGTGGATTCGGATTAGGAGGAGGTTTTGGTTGGTGATTAGTGCGATTAGGGTTATTGGTAGGGGGTTGGGTCCGTTGTTGGGTACGAAGAGTTGGTTGAAATTTCTGAGGTACATATGATGGTGGGTTCATCTGGAGATTAGGATGGGATTGTGCTGGATGCGGATGCTCCGGCGGAAAAAAAAATTTAAAACTACTTACTACTAAAATACAAGACTTAAACAAAACTTGATTTTCACAATAATTGCTATAATTGCTTCATAAAACCTGTCTAATCCATCACATTAAACGTTCTATTTGATTGGACATGAACTTAAATTATAAAATGGAAATGAGCTACTTTTTTTTTATTGGAATTATAATAGAAACATGTGTTGATACAGAAATGGTAGATCTTTTTGTATGATAAATCATCCGTTGAAATTACTGACTTACTTCATTAAATGAAATTACAAAATGCTTGAATAGATCAAAAAAACAACAACAGAATTTTGTTTTTAATTTCCATGCTTATTAATCAACTTAAATACCGTTTACTTGTTTTTTCATCAATCATATTTAAGTATAACAACAAGGAAGTCGTTCTCAATAATTAACGAAAAAACAGTTATTTATTTACTAATCAATAACATAAAATAATTATTGAAAAAAAATAGGAAAATGAAGTTATGGAAAGTATCTTGAATTTTCAATTTTTTTTTTTGTCTTTACATCTTCATCCGCACCGGTCATGGTAGTGACAATCAGCAGATTTGCTGTTAAGTTGAAAATGACATGATAGGCATGACGAAGAATGGAGCCCAGCAGCACCTCTTCCCTGGCCTGTTTACATCCTAAAGTCAGGAAAGGAGATTTCTCATCCAGCTCCTTTTCAGTCACCTCCTGATGAGCATTTCAGCCGTGGCCATGTCTTTGATAAGTCCATTGTGATGTCCGTGTAGTTTTAGATAAAATCGGGAGTAAAGAGTACGTATGTGCTGGTCAATGGTTGGTTGTCTTAGGTCGGTATGTCTTATTGTTGACGTACCAGCAGAGAGCTGCAGTTATTAGTCTTAAAATTTTAGATTGAAAGGATTGTAGTTTTTGTAAGTGAGTCTTTTTTGCTGAACCGTAAATCTGTGAGGCGTATATCCAAATGGGTTTGAGTAGGTAAGTGTATGTATTTAGTTTTTGTCTAATTTTCAATTTTGATTTAGAAAACAGTGAGTACAGTATTTTCAGTCGCTTGTTCAAACTCTTTCTTTTCATTTTGACGTGTGGGCCAATTATTATTTTATTATTTTTTAAATCTTAATTGGGGTATTGATTGGTGTCGGTAAGGATTTTTTTCTGTTGGTTAAAAATAAATTAGTTGCTTGTTGATATTAAAAAACAAAATTAAAATAAGTTTGTTAAATCCTCGAATACGTGGAGTTATAGCTGGAATTTTTATCTCTTTTAAGGATTTAAAGAATAAAATTAAGGCACTTGGGAAACAGTTCTTGCAAGCGGTTGGGTTGTGCTGGTTTGCGTATTTCTGTAAGGGGCAGCTAGTCTGAGATATTTCACTGACTAGCAGAAATGCTATAAGTTTTATCACTGGTTTTGGAATTGGTTTAATGTATTATTCGTAGAATATTATTGAAAATATTACGTTTAATTTATTTTAAATACATCGTTTTAATAATATTTTACTATAAATTATTTCAGGATCAAATAAGTTTTAAAAAACGAACTAATAATTACTAGTCCATCCTTACTTTAATTAAATCAATATTTCTTTCGACAAATGAAACCGTTGATTTATCCCTAATTTTAATATTGACAAAATAATATTAATAACTTATATTTACCATATTATTCACTAACATTTATCGAAATTTGATTTAAGTTATTTTTTTCATTTATTATTACAATTACCAATTTACTTATTTCATTTTTTTTATATTTCTTTTTCTTTATTATTGATATTAATTCTATGTACATATTGTGTGAATGAATCATGTAGCCTTAATATTAATGCCCTTAAATGTGGCAGAATGTATTAATATTCAGTAAAGAAAGTAATAAAAATAAATATTATAATTGTGTATTCAAATATATTTGTATCTATTACAGGTGCTATAGCTGTCAATTATTTGATGTTGTCACCAGTATCCCAAGCAGATAATGGTAAGAATTTATTATTTCTCTTAAAATTAAATACTGAACTAATAGCACATCTTTACTATTATTGATAACTATTTGTGGATATTATTTTTTTTAATGTTTAAGCATGTCAATTATTCTCTTTAGGATATTATGTAGTTTCTAAAAGTACTGCTCAGATGGTATTTACTTAAAGTTCTTTTATTATTAATTACTAACGGAGAGAAAGGCTTGGCTCGAAAATCTCCTGAGTGAATGGATTCTGTAAATATTGTATAAGAATGCTCGTATTTTATTTGTTATTTTGATTAGTTTTTTGTTTATATAGATTTACTTTCAGTATTATTTATTTTAAAGAGAGTGTGAATGTGCTCTCTGAATACGATTATAAATGTACTTAATTGTGCCAGATTGTAATAATTCTGAATAAATAAGTTTAAAAAAAATTACTAACATGAATGAATGTGTGTGCCTGTATTAAAGTTGCTGTGATAATGCTGTAATATGTTGAACAATTTAAGCTTACCTTTTATACACACACACACACACACACACACACACACACACACACACACACACACACACACACACACACACACACACACACACATATGTGTGTGTGTGTGTGTGTGTGTGTGTGTGTGTGTGTGTGTGTTTATTTGTTGGCGCTATATACCATGCAGATTTTTGACCACGAGATGTGGTCCTGGTTTAACATCCCGATTACTGATTTAAGTACACGGGGGTAGCGTCAACAGTTCTACGCCCGGATCGGTGTGAGTTGCCTCCATTAGGCTGACAGGTCACACATACCGGTGGAGGGAGGGGGGTGATCTCGGGCAGCATCTATGGTGGACTTCCATCCAAATCGGACGGTCACCCATCCAAATGCTAAACACGCTTGGTGTTGTTTAACTTGGTTACCTATTGCAAGCGGCTTAGCCCGCAAGCCTAATCCAGCCCCCATATTTATATATGTATTATACTATTTTTCTCACTTTTGAATTACGCTACAACAACACGTCGGCGTATTGTAAAATTCATGACAGGTACAAATTAAAATTTGAAATGAAAACATAAGAACAGGTATATTTAACAAAAAAAAATAGTTACTCCCACATTACTACGCCAGTTGCCCCACTTTGTTTTAATATTATCTTATAGCTTTTCGGCAAATATAATAACAAGTAACAGTAAGTAAGTAACAGTGTTTTTAGAGAGTTTTATATTCGTTTTTCCCACTTAAAAGGAACATTAAATTCGAATATTTTTATTAATCAAAAAGTAAAATTTGTTCGGGTGGCTATGAGGCCTGGACACTAACCAGCTCCCTAAAAAAATCTATTGAAATATTTTAGATAAAAATCCTCAATGGCGTTATATATGACGATGGCCGGGCGACATAGGATCAGTATTAACGCATGAAGAAATATCTGTTTCACTTACCATCCTCTTAGCAGAAATCAGTATTTTCAGACCAAGGGGAAGTAAAAAAGTAAAAATTATAGACGCTATAATTATTTACATCTCATTGTGAGTATTTTCATTTGTTTAAATAGCCTTATACATACTTTTTTTATTATTTTAATGAAATTTACAATTGCATTACATAGAAAACACAATAAGTAAATGTGACATTGGTAACATGACATGTACAACATGAAGAGAAACTACACATTGGTAGAACTCAAATTAAAGTTCTATATTAGAAGATCCCGAGGCCATCTTCTTTTCAGACGCCTCTCAGGGTTATCAGGGATCGAGGAGGAAGCAAGGTTTGATCCGAGAGGATTCGGATGGTTCTGCAGTTTGTTATGGAAGGTTAGGTAACTGGATTGGGCCAAATCGGAAACGTATGGAACATTAAGGTCTTTATGGATGATTTTATTTGTGACAAAGTAAAGAGCGTTGAGGATTTTACGAAGTATATTTGATTGTAAGGATTGGATACGAGAGGAATTCGATGGTTTAGTGGATTCCCAAAGCTCAATTCCGTAAGTCCAAATAGGTCTTATTATTGTCATAAATATGTGTCGTTTGTAATTGATTGAAAGCTTAGAGCGTTTGTCTAGTAATTGCTGCAGTAGTCGAAAACGTCGGGCGGTTTCTAGTCGTTTCAGTCTGGTATGGGGGTCCTTATACATACGAATTTTAATTTTTATATCGCTGTAATCTATGTCATTAAATATTGAATATTATCAATGATAGCATTTATGAAAACCGCAAACTTACATTTATATGTATATGTTCATAATATTGTCGGAATCCGTATTATATTAAGCTCATGTTACGTATGAAAGCATGTCCTAATCTTTCGGGCGAGTTCTCCATTACCATTTCAATTATCCGTTACCACCTCAAATTTCTCCTTTAGTTAATTGTAAAATTCTTTCATATTTTATATTTAACTATTTTTTATATAAAAAATGAATGTGTAATGGATGGTTATTTCAAATAACAAAATAAAGGTACTTAAAAGGAAGCTACTATTGAAAATGTTTGACTTATTATATTTATTTACACTTAAAATTATTACAATTAAAAATATAGATTAATTTAATTACACTGACTTCTTTTCCCCTAGATTGGGTAATAGCCCACTGTACAACATATAGTTTTTCAATGTTGACTTATAGTATTACTAGGACCTGCTAGGGAATCAACACAAGAGGCTTATAAGTTCCTGTGTACATGGCTCCCAGCAGATTACATTAAATATTGCACACTAAGAAGATTTGTAACTGGCTGGTGAACTTAGAGGCTACACGAGGGTAGGGAGCAACAAGCCATTATTTCCAGGGTGCGGCTCCCGAACAAATGAAATCTAAATTGCCAATGGAATGCCGGGCTTTGTATTTTCTTCGCTCTGGGAAACCGCTTTTCACAGATAAGGAAAATATTCAAATCAGGCCTGGATAAGAGAGCGAATATGCAAGAAATGGCCCAGTATGCTCGCGGGGCAAGTCGAGCTTGAGGTCACAGATTTTAAATAAGATATTATGAGAGTAGTTGTTGATTCTAAGGTCATTTAACTCAAAAAATTATCAACAGTATAATAACAGCGGTATTACAAAAAAGTAAAAATAAAATTCAGTATTTTCCAACCGAATCAAATGCTACAAGGAAACACAAGAGGTAAAGATAATATATCACCCTCAAATAAATAATCACACCATATTTCTATATATAGGGAAAGGCCTGTAAGAAACAGAGTTATTTTAATTTTATATATATAAATAATTCCAGGACTGTATACCACGATTAATTTTTTTTTTTTTTAAATCTGCAGCATAAGTTGCCAACAATACTTTCTCACATAATCATATAGTAACTTTTTATCAAGCCACACAATGTTAATTAAGGATTAATTAACAAAGTTACATGTTTTTCAAAGACAAGATGAACTGAGGTGATTAAAATGCTCTGCATCCTTTCTTAAAGAAACAAATTAACAAGATAAAGCCAGGGAAGATATGTGGCGGGATATTATGGTCATATACCATCTCTGTTCTTATTATTTTCTTGTATTAATACAGGTCATTTGCTTATTCTCAGCAGTTAGTCGATGGGTGCTAATTAAGGTTTAAAAACAAAAAAAAACTATTTTATAATTACCTTATAATTTGAAAGCGTTTTGTTTTGGAATTACTTTGCGAACAAAAGTGAATGGTTATTTGGTTTACAATTAATTTTAATTGAATTCACAAATGCCAAAAAAAGTTTGTGGCTAAAGCCCTGTCGCTCAATCTCCACTACCTTTAGGACCAGCGACATGGTTGAGAGAGTAGAGAAGGGATCTTTTTGAGTCCTGCTCTTCCCTCTAGAGGAAAATACTCCTCACTTTGTCAGAAATAAAATAATTCATGACGACCTTAATGCATCATATGTTTCCAATTTAGCTCATTCAAGATACCTATCCTTCCATAATAAATTTCTGAACCATCCGAACCCTCTTGTTTCGAATCTTGGTTCCTCTTCTATTCCTGAAACCCTCCGAGGAGTTTGAAAAGCAGATATCCACAGGATCTCCGAATATAGAACTTTAATTTGATTTATACCATTGGGTATTTTTTTTTTCATTTGTGCATGTCATGTTAAGAATTTCACATTTACTAGTTGTATTTTTCATGTAATACAGTTTTAAAAAATTACAGTAAATACATTACAGTAAAAAATTACAATAAAAAAAATTACCTATATTTCAATTATTTTTCAATTATTATTTTTATTGCATATAGTTTTTGATTATTATTTTACTTTTGTTAATTTTGTGTTTTCTATATATATGGTGTGAATATGTTCATATCACTTTATAACTATTGTCCGGGTAACAGATCATTATATTTCTGAATAAATATTTTTTTTTTTAAAATAACAATAATTTGCTTTTAATATATTGTGAGAAAATCGCTGGGATCTCCTAAACTTCAGTATTATCTTGGAAATATGGGAACCAAAGCTTAGTTCAGAGTCTGGTAGGGAACTAGAAGTTTCTTCGCCACATTCATAAACTCTGCCCACTTATTAGTTGATAATACATTTTATTTAAGACTAGATGGAATTCTTTACCTTACAGGTCTATTCCAACGGGCCATCCTGATGTCCGGTACCGCACTTAGCAGCTGGTCGGAAGTGAAGCATCCAGAGGAATCGGCCAGGGCACTCGCCGAACAACTGAAGTGCCCGATGGACGACCTGAGCAACTGCCTCAGGGAAAAGGACTGGGACGAACTGGTTCATGTTCGACTCCCCGAGGACCCTGCACCCACAGTGGACGGAGTCGTGGTACTCAACCATCCCAAGGATCTTATGTCGCATAATACCGGACTGTTCACGGGGTAAGTGAATCTTATGTTAAATAGTATTTTGAAGGTCGAACCAGTTCATAGTTATCATTCATTTCAGTTACGGAAAACAGTGGTCCTTAGTACTAACCCAATCGGATTCAAGGACAGTGAAATATCGGTCTAGATACATGGATTATTTTGCTGCATAGATTTAGCAGGCGCGGGAGGTCAAATCTCTTAATATTGGCTTTTGTTGTTGTTGTTTTTGTTATGGGTTTAGGGGCAAAAAACTGCTAATTGTTATAATTTTTCTAAAAATTACACTAATTAATTTATTTTTAAATCTTAAAACCACTGTATAAGTAAATATGTTTTAAGAAGGAATAGCAAAAAAAATCATATATTACTGTAGAGAGAAATAAGAAAAAAAAATATATATATATATATATGAATGAAGTCAATGTATCCCGAATTTGTGAGAAAAATAGTTCAATTCAGATTAGTTGCAATTAGCCTATGTTATTGATACATTGTTCGTTATCAGTTAATGCTTCACTGAGTTGATGGAGTACACTCACCTATTTCCATCTTTCTCCTGTATCGAGGAGACTCCTCAAAGATATAGCTCAATATGAGAGTCACTTTACGTAGTTGACACTGAGGTGGATGCCCCCTTTCCATCAGGTAGCAATGGGTCAAACGGCAATGTTCAATTCTGAGGCGGGTGATGTATATTTCCTCATATTCCATATACATACTGGAGGACGATTCCTAGCAAATGACTATTGGTTTGATTATTATTAGTTTTTATCGGCTTCCGTTATTAGGAATCTTGCTACTAAGTACCATTTCGACGGCTGTGATTGATGCTGTAAATTATTTTATTATGATTTAATAAGGTACATATTTACTTATAATCACCTTCGATAAACTCCTTTCCTCTATCCCTGCACCTCTCAATGGGAATCTCCTGTTTTCTGAAATAGTGTTTGAAGTATTCTTCTATCAGAGCTGCTTGTATTTCTAAGCTTTAACCGACTTGAATCTTGTTCCTCTTGATGCCGATGACGAATCGTGTTAGTTTAAGACGAAGCGGAGAGTACAACAAATGGAAATTCCAAGATGATAATATACAAAATTCCGGAATATCCAACTATTAATGAACGTTACTAAGTTCACGTTCCTACTGGAAGAGAAAGCGAAACACGTTCTGAAGGAGCTGACAGATGAAGACATCCACCGGTGTTTCCGACAAAGGAAGATTCACAGGTAACATTGCGGGAGTATCAAAGTGGTGTATACTTAAGGTTTTAATAAGTATATGTCTATTTTTTTTTTGGTTTAATTTTTTTATTCACACCTGTCATAATGGTAATGACAACCAGTGAATGTGAGCTCGATTAGAAAAAATAATGTCATGAAAGGCATTACGAGGATCAGTGCCCATCCCCACCTCACTCGGCGTGATATCTACATTAGGCGAGGAGGTCCCTCATCCAGCTCCTCTTCAGTCTCCTACAGACGTTACCTGACATATTCGTAGTGGCAATGTCATTTATAAGTGTGTTAGGGTGTCCCTGTAAGCTGTCATGGAATCGTTTGTAATGAGTTTTTATGTGTTCGTTAACAGTCGGCATATGGAGGTCAGTATGTAATGTTATGTTGCTAACGTACCAAGGGGCTTTTGTAATTGTTCTGAATGTTTTTTCTTAAAAGATTTGAAGTTTGTTTAAGTGAGTCTTTTTAGAAGTTCCAAATATCTGTGATGCGTAATTCCAAACAGGTTTTAGTAAGTAATTGTATGTGTTCAATTTCTGTCTAAGTTTTAGTTTTGAATTTTTCTAAAGAAGTGAACTCAGAATTCCTAACCTTTGATTTAGCGTTTTTCGTTTCTTGATTATATTTGTGTCCCACTTCATTTTTCTGTCAAATGTTAGACCGAGGTAGTGAACGGTGTCTGTCAGTGGAATCTGTGTATTGTCAAGGAAAACTGGAGGGCATGTTTCACGTCGAAGCGTAAATGTGATGTGCTGTGATTTGTCTTGATTTACGGATTTATTGTCGGATTTTGAACCAGTCATGTAACATTGTTAAATACTGTTGTAGGGTCTGTGAGGCCTATGTTGGATTATGTGTATAAAATAAAAATAAAATGCACCATTGTTCTAGTCATTTAGTAACCACAACTCGTAAAAACGCATTTAAAACCAAAAATATGACTACTTTAAATAATTTGAGTTTAGTAAAACGAATAAATGAGGGGGAAACAAAGCATAGTAGGGTACCATAAACCGTAGAGACAGGACCCTCACACCTCAAGAAGGAAACACTGATGAGGGAAGACAACCGACTCGGTAGCTATTCGTTGTGCGCCACGCGGGTGTAATTTTAGTCACCATTGGTCCTCGGCCAAATCACTGATCTCTGTATATCTCCTTCTATCACCTGATATATATTAGAGATAAATTTAGTCTAAAGATTATTGTGATTAATGTTTGTAGTTAATTTTAAATAAATTACTACATAAATTGAATTTACGATTGGGGCGGCCTTGTTACATCTCGGTGACGTTAGGACAAGATGTTTTTCGGCTTTAATATCTTAATTAGTGTACTAACGTTTACTTAAAAAATCTTTTTTTTTTTTTTTTTTTTCTTTCTGACATTTACAACTGTATTACATAAATACATCAAGTAAATTTGGACATAATTGATATAATGACATGAATACACTTGCTGAGTAACTACCCAATGGTAGCACTCTAATGATATGCCTATATTAGGAGATCACGGGGCCATCTTCTTTTAGACGCCTTGGAGTGTTATCAGGAATTGAAGAGGCAGCAAGGTTAGAAACGAGAGGGTTGGGATGATTCTGAAGTTTATTATGGAAGGATAGGTATCTGGATTGGGCCAGATCTGAAACATAAGGAACATTAAGATCTTTATGAATAATTTTATTAGTGAAAAAGTAAGGAGCATTGAGGATTTTACGAAGGATTTTGGATTGTAAGGATTGGATGCGAGAGGAATTTGATGGTTTAGTGGAGCCCCATAGCTCAACTCCGTAAGTCCATATAGGTCTTATTATAGTAAAGTATATGAGTCTTTTGTAATTAATGGAAAGTTTAAAGCGTTTGTCTAGTAAGTGCTGAAGTAATCGGAAATGTCGAGCGGTTTCTTGTCGTTTCAGTCTAGTATGAGGATTCCAAGTTAGTCGTTGTCCAGGTGGAGTCCTAGGTATCGGATTTGCTCAACAGGGATAAGTGGAGTATTGTTAAAGGAAACTGCAGGACAGGAAGTCGTTGGTTTACGACGATAAAAAATCTTAAACTAGTCCGTTCCAAATCCAAAAAACATGGAATATAAAACTCAAAATGTGCAAAATCGTGCAGTAAAAACCCAAACAGTATAAAATTGTGTACATAACATACAAAAATCATAGTATTTGTTTAATTTACAATAATAATGCATGTTGAAGTGAAAAATTCTTCAGGCGCGTTTTGCACTTTTTTGTGGAGAGTGATTGATCCATCATATTTCTGAAGTGTTAACGCTCTTGTAAAGTCGGCTAAAGTTGACTAAATGAAATGTTCTTGCATATGGATTAAAATATCCCAGAAACTAAATATGATACTGTAAGCGAGGAAATTGTCCTGCATTTCATCCTCACTGTAATAGGCTATCATACAAAATTGTACCTTATCGCGATGCCTTGTTAGGAGGCGAAAAGGAAAGTGTCGAAAACCAAATGACAACGAGTTCAGTTTAACGTAACGAGGGAAATGTTCAGCATATCATCTTCTTTGTAATGAGCTATTATTGAAAATTTAACTTAACCCAACACCGTGTTAGAGAGTATGAGAGGGAAAAATAGTATACAAAACCAAATTACTATGAGTTTTATGGAAGATATGGATTAAAATATCTCAGAAACTAAAAAGCGGACTTGCATACTGTAAGCTAGGGAAATAATCAGCATTTCATCCTCTTTGCAATGAGCTATTATTTATAATTTATATTTCATATTATTAATCTCGCCTTGTTAATGTTTTCAGTTCTACCGTGTGGTCTATAGCACACACCGCAGCTGTTGTTTTGTGTTAAAAATTATAGCCTCTAAGCTTTGAAGTCATAGATATGGCTGTTGTAACTTGAGAAAAAATTAATTCTGATTTAAAATCAATTAGAGAGTTATCTTAATTCATATGAAAGAAAGAGCAGCTCCCAAAAAATTAATAGCTTTTTTAAAAAACCGTGCAATTTCGAATTGAGGCTTGATTTCGCAGCTGTAGATCAATTTTTTTTTAATGTGGATTTTCAGTCAAGTTCATTAGCGTTCATTAAAATTTACAGTCCGTAGAATAATCTAGCAACGTTTTGCCAATTACTTTTTTATACAAATAATTTCCTGCTTTTTTTCTATGAAAACTGGAAAATAAATATATACATGTTTTGAAACCTTAAACATGTGTTTTGGAACCGCTAATAACATAACCATGAGGAAAAGGGGTTTCGTAAAGGAAAAGGGACTATATGCGCTTGCATTCGTTAAATTATTTAATATGTTACCAATATTTTTACTATTATTTATACGATCAAAAGTGTTTACTTGAATTGTAATTCTGTTACCTATATCAAACTATTCGAGTCTAAAATATCTTTTTATTTCTGAAAGAAACTTTAAAATGTTATTGTGAATAAAAAATTAAAACCAAAATATATAAAATCTATGGCTTCATGACGTGCATGGGTTGGACCCCTCTGTATTCAACATTATATGAACCAAACTTTCCAAGCAATTTTTAAGCAAAATCTGTAAATACATTAATAATTACGGTACAGAATGATTAGTAATACTTAATCATAATGTATTTAAACATGTATTTGACTGAATAACTATAAATAATCCTGTTTATTTAAATCATACATTTACAATACCGAAGCCCACGTGGTATGTATATATAAAAGTATGTTTTCGTACCGACATTTAGAACAGTTTTTTTTTATAAAGTTTGGTAAATATTGCTTCTGTTTTTATTATAATATTTA